GAGGAGGAGGAGGAGGAGGAGGGAGGAAGTCCCTCGTGGCCACCCCGAGGGGAGGGTGCCCGCGGGGACTTGGTCAGGAGGCGCGGGCCGACCGCTGGGCGCGTGGCCCGGGCGCGAGGGGCACGGACGGTTGGGCGCGCGCTCCCCGCGGACCCCAGCGGCTGGGGCCGGGCCGGGGGCGGCGGCGCGGGCGCGGGGCGGCGGCGGCGGGCGGGGAGCGCGGGTGCGCGCGGGGACCCCGGTGGCGCGGAGCGGCGACGCGCGCGGGCCGCGGGTGCGCGCGCGGGGGGGCTGCCCCGGGGCGGCCCCCCCACGTCGGGGCGCGGCGGTCGGCGGCGGCGGGAGCGCGTCCCGTCCCGGTGCCCAGGAGCCGCCGCCGCCGCCGCCGCTCGCCAACATGGCGGACCTGGAGGCCGTGCTGGCCGATGTCAGCTACCTGATGGCCATGGAGAAGAGCAAGGCCACGCCGGCAGCCCGCGCCAGCAAGAAGATCGTGCTGCCCGAGCCCAGGTACCGGCTCCCCGCGCCCGCGCGGCCCCGCGCCGCCGCCCCGGGGCCGCCAGCGACCCCCTGCGTCCGGGAGGGGCGGRCGCTCGGTGGCCGCTGCCCCGGGCCGGCCGCTGACCTCCGGGAGCGGGCGCTGCGGGGCCAGCCTCGTCATGCCGCTCCCTGAAATGGGGCTGCGGAGCGCTGTTGGGGGACGCGAGGAGAGAGCTCCAAAGTGCGCCCCGAGCAGCCAGCGCCCCAGCAGGGGCTGGCCAGGACACGGTTGTGACTTGGCGGACCCGCTCCATCCCTGCCACCCACTCCTGCCCCAGCCTGGCCGTCCTTCTTTTCCTGGCCGCCTTTTTAGCCCCGTACTTAGGGTTCTGCCCGAATCTCTTCTTGTCCTCTCCCTGTCCCCATTCTAGCCCATTTCTGTCACCGCATCTGTCCCACCCTTGTTCTCCCCTTAAGCCCCATCCTTAGGGATCCCTCTGCCACACGCTTGTCATTCCATCAAGCCATCCTGCTCTTTCCTTCCCTGGTGCCTGCTGCCCTCCTTTCCAACTCCATCCTTCCCTCCGCCCCCTCTGCGCGCTTTCGCTGAAGAGTGCAGGCTGGTCGCCTTTTGTCCCAGGTATTCAAACTGCGGTTTTCAGCCTTAGCGCCTCTGGAGGTCCATCTGTCTACTCAGCTCCCTGTGCCCTGTTCCTCTCTCTTGCCCCAGGCAGGAATGAATGTATTTTGACCTACTCAACGTTCTCTTTTGGTATTGTGTCACCTGAGCTGGTTTTCTTAACACGTCTCCTGGTGGCACTTTCTTAAAAAGGTTGAAATGGGGACCTGGGGTTGTGGCTCAGTGGTAGAGTGCTTGCCTGGCATGTGTGAGGCACTGGGTTCAATTCTCAGCACCACACATAAATAAATGAACAAAGTAAAGGTCCATTTAAGAAAAAATAAAAGAATCTCTTTAAAAAAAAAAAGATTGAAATGGGGTCCGCTTAAAAATGCAAATGGAATGGTGATGCCAGAGAGGAATTTGTTGTTAAATTAGCTAGGAGGGGTCCCGTTGAATTGGCCACCCACTTGGTGAAGTCCATGCAAAGTCATCTTATCTCAAGTGATTTATTATTGATTCTACTCTGATTGGTTTAGTTTTGGGGTTTTCCTAGTTCATGTTATTAGCAGTAGTCCAGAAGAGATTGTGCACCAGGTTAAAAGTGAGTCCATCTCCCCAGCCTCTTTCCCAAGGAACAGCATGGTGAGTTGTGACTCCTTGGTGCAGAATAGCTCTGGCTGGAATCACTGGTGAAAAGAGGCATCATCTGTAAGATGGAGCAGAACCCACACAATTCTGTAAAGTGCTGGGATCTCGTCTGTTCTCCCTTCRAAATCACCAGTCCTTCAAGTGTTAGGTGTAAGAGCTCAACCGTGACCTGACCTAAGAAACTAGCAGACTCTTTTGATGGTCCCTAATCACCAGATGGTGGGTTTCCAAGTGCACTCATGAGCCCTGTGACCCAGAAGACATGGATCCCTTTGAGTTATTTGCTTTGAAAAGTCAGATGGTGTAAATGAAGACGTGCTTGCTGGGTATTTTTGGCTTGTAGGGTGTGTTGCTCTTGATAAGCTACGTCAAGTGCTGTGAGCCGGATACTCCTAGAGCTGAACATAGCTGAAGCTGATGGGGAATCAGGGCTGTTTAATGTTTCTGGCAAATGTGAAATTAGAGAACAAGCTCCCCCACCCCAAACCTAGATTTCAATAAAACAGCATCATCAACAACAATGATTATACATTTCCATGAATGTGATATAAAGATGCTTGATTTCTTTTTCTCCTGCCTTTCCAACAAGGCCAGGGAGTCTTCAATACATAGGGTTTCTATATAAAACGCCAGTTAATCTCAACTCCTGAGCGGTTTCTTTTGGGGGGAGGGGTACAGAATATCACTAAAATTAGGCTCTTGTCTTCATATTTTTTCTTGGTATTTTGAACTTAAAGTGACTTCTGCTTTTTAGCGTCCCCCTTAGGAACACAGTTATGGGCCCCAGGGTACCCACTTCCTCGTGTGAAAGCCTGTGTTTTTCAGGGGTACTTTTTTGGGGGTGTAATGTTTGTAGGGGAGAACTGGTGACGAAGAGTCTATTTCTCTTGACATTTGAGAATTGAGGAATGTCAACAGGAGAGTAACTGAAGGAAAGGGCCCTTTGGTGATTGTTATTCTGTTGCTACTTTTCAAACAGGCTCTTGAATTAGGCCAAGGGAGCCTCCTCCCAGGGTTCTAATTGGCTTTGTATTTATCTGATGGTTTTGGCTCTAGTTTGTCATAGAACCGTTTGCATAGTAACAGTCKCTCCTCGGCTCTGCTTGGCTTCTGGTACATTGGGATTGTGGGGGAGAGCATTTGGCAGATTTTTTTTTTCTCAGCTGAACTATCTATTCTATGGGGAGGGGGGTTTGGAAGTTTTTAAATCCCACCCGAAATCTCAGCATGGTGGCTACCAAGTGCCTCTCTTTACTCTGTGGGTCAAGGGACTGGACCAAGCTTTAAGAGTTACCAGAGACTCTCCCTCAGCTTCCTGTTGGAGGGGGCCACGGGATCCTGCGTCTTCAGTGTTCCTGACAAAGGTGCTGAGATTGGACTTTTCTGAATCTGACTGTGTCACCGACTTCTTAACGAGATGTTGGTGGATCACTGTGGACTTTTCATTTCCGGCTGACTCTCTGAAGTCACTTCGTACCCCTGTGCTTCCTTGTCTCAGTACCTCTGCTTTCCCCCACAGTCCTAACCAGAAAACTTGAGGGCCCCACCGAGTCTGGGTGCCCGCCTCCTCCGCCTGTGCGAGGAGCCTCAGGAAGTGGAACATTTAGTCCAGGGGGAGAGTCGGCTTCCCTGAGATGGCAGGAGGCAAGCATTTTGTTATGTTGACACATTATTCAATTAAGGAACCAATGAGCGTAAATCCTGCAAAAGCTGACTATTTGTTCAAATTACAGAGCGGCTTTCGTTTACTGAGACGTTTGTTGAGCTAATGTAGCTGCTAATGGGACCTATTGGGAATGATCAGTGGTGACCCATGGACTCACCGATGCAGGACCAGTTCAAACAGGAGCATGAAGAGGCAAGGGTCCCTTGGACACCATGTCTGAGAAGGAATTTTTGATTGCATTTGGGTCTAATTCATAAGTGAAGGCCTGCAGAGGACCACAGTTAAGTCCTGGCGTGGTTAAGACAGCTCTGCCTTAGGTTCTATTTCTCTGTTAGYCTTTTCCAAACAGAATGAAATCGAACTGACTTGCTATCAGACAGAGTCRAAAGAAGTTGAATAACCAGAACTTGATCTTTCCCCAGGAGTCTCATTTCTGCTTATTGAATGCTGAAAATTTTGGATGAGCCATTGCAAAGCTTGTCATGTCAGTGATTCACACAATATGATAGAAAAATCTGAAAAGAACATTTTTAGATTCTTTCTACTGTTTAATGCCCTGATTCAGTGTGCAGTGGTAGAGCCATTTCCATGAGCCAGGCATGGAGCACTGTGACAAGCCCYACCACAGCCCCTTCCTTCCAGGAGTCCAGTGGGAAATAAACAGAGTTGAGTCAAGAAAGATGTTTGCTTTCAAGTGCAATTGCTGGAAGATTCTATTTAGCCGCGGACAAGCAGCATTCAGAGGACTTGTATTATCATGCACAGAACACATTATGCCCTCTAAGTGTTTTGTAATAATTTGCTAATGGCTCCCTTTGAAGAACTATTCCAGACATGGTAACACAGTAATATGGTAGTTTGCATCTTCCTGGTCTTAAAACTACCACTCGTAATTGATCTCGCAAAGTGGCGCAGTTCTAAGTGGTGCCATTTTCTTCTTTTGTGGAAATGAGTTCATTGTGTAACTTGGGGATTCTAATCAGTAAGTGGTTGGTGGATAACGGGAATATTCCTCTRTTTGCACCAGAGGGTGTTCCCTGGCTGCACTCTTCTGACCCCACAGCCTGACTTGGAGCCCAAAGGCCCATGTTAAAAGAATCYACAGGGMTGGGGACGTTYCTSAGTGGCAGAGCACTTGCCTARCATGCAGGAGGCCTTGGATTTGAGTCCCAGTGCTGCGGTGGGGAGAAAGGGTGAGAACCGTCAGGAGGAACATGTCTGTCCTARAACAGAGCTGTTCTTTTTTTTTTTTTTTCCCCACTAAGACACAGATTCAAAAGGTAATTTGTTCTGACCTTTCAGTTCTTATTTCATTCTTGGTCAAAGTTAATTTGTGCCGGGGACTTCAAGAGGCAAGGGTTGTGTGTAGCTGTCAGTTCTTGGAAATTGATGTACCAGGGCCATGATTTCGGACCTAGAGTCTGCCCTGGTCCAGCATTATGAAACGCTCTGAGTCAAGAGCCTGGTGGAGCTCTCGAGGTACAGGCAGTCCCCGCTCCTAATTAATCAGTTCTTAGAGTCAGCCTCCTCAAGAGCTTCCCCAGCACACTGAACTTGGCTTTGCCAAACATCTGTGTGGGCAAGGATGGAGACCGAGAGGAGAGCACCCGCGGGCGGAGAAGGGCAGGGCAGGGCAGGGCAGGGCGGGCCTCTTCCAGTCTGGGGGTGGAGGGCCAGCGGAGCCCTGGGATGCTGAGCGTTAGGAAGCAGGACCCCTCCAGGCCCGAAGCCCTGAGAAGGGAAGAGGTTCAGCGTCCGCAGGTCATGCTGTAGTGACTGTCCTGTGCTGAGACTTGCCCTCTGGCAGGCAGTTCATGTTCCCCCCACTCCACCTACCAGGTGAGTGGCACGGGCAACTACCTGCCCTGGGAAGGGGGAAAGGTCAGCCCAGGGAGCAGCAGAGAGCCCTGGGGGTGGGTGAGCTTAGGCACCCMGCCCAGCCCTTCCCACCAGGCTGAACCTTTTGGCCAAGACCAGAAGCCTGCCCTTGCCTCTGATTTTCTTTTGGAGGGGTGGGGTACCAGGGATTGAACTYGGGTGCCCTCAACCACTGAGCCCCACCCCCAGCCCAATTCTGTATGTAGAGACAGGGTC